GAGATGCCCCTGAGTGTACACTTTCATTTTTTCCCCATCTTGGATGCCTTCAGTTTAAACAACCCTAAGATAAACGCACTTGCCCAACTAGTTATCTGCTACTATAGCGTTTTTCCTGTTAGAGCATGGGCACAAAGTGGCAGGAACAACAGCTGGTTTTATTATTATTATTACACTTGCAGTTAAACATTAAATGAACAGCTGTGCAGAGGCAAAACTTTCAAAGTGGAGGAAGAAAAGAGAACTAGAAAAGCAATTAAAAGACCCCATAATAAATGAAGACTTTCCATCAGGGCAGAGTGAGGAAGGACACATCCCTGTTCACAGGCCAGTGCTAGGAGTCTCTTGCAGCAGAGTTGGCTGTGCTCTTCCTCTTTCAGCACAGCCTTACTTGTATAGCTCCAATTCAGGAATTAAGGCCTAAACCATAGCTGTCAAGTACAGAAAAGCTTGACAGCTCTCCTAACTCTAGTCACAAGGTAAAGTATACCTGCACAGGACCTAGGAGGTTCTTACAATTCAGACATGCATAAGTTTCATCGAGGTGACAATGTCAGCATATAAATACCCTGATTCTCATTTTTTACACTCAGAGAATGAGATGCACAGAAGGAAGTTACTTGCCTGCCTCAAAGCAACCCTTCACTAGAGCACTGAGCAGCACATTACTCACGAATAGTTATATATGAAGTGAACAATGGGACAGGATTTACTTTTCCCCCTCCCCGGTGCACCATACCTGCATCCCAGGAATAAGGAGGACCATGCTGATAAGGAACATCCTTTGAGATCAGGCAAGCACAATTTCTCAGAAAGTGACAGGTCCCTGAAGCACTAAAACAGGAGCAGCGGTCTTGTTTCCTCCTTTCCTTCATCCACTGTTCAAGTATTGCTATCCAGCTGTATTTTCAGACATGCCTTGGCAGCTACAGCACGTGAGCAGAGCATTTGGAATGGACTGATGAGACACAAACCAGCCCTCGTGACTTGTCCTTGGCTCAAAGTTGTCCCCTGCCTTGAAGGCCTGCCCTCACAAGAGAGAGCAGCAGAGGGGAACAGCAGAACCCACAGCATCAGCAAAACAAATCCCCATTTCAAAGCCAGGTCTGTCTTTGCTTCAGAGGGAAAGCAATTAAACTCAAGCACTGCAGCCCTTATACATGAAACAACACTCTTTTTATTCAATTAAATTTCCTGTAACTGAGGTTAATGTACCATGTGGTATCTGCCTCAAGGTATAAGAGGCTTCTGGATGAACTGCCAACAGCACAGTGACAGGAGGAGCCTGAAAGGATAAGGAAGAGCAGAGACCTTGCAAGGGGCAGGCAGCTAGCTATCAATGCCTCTACCTGCTAAAAGTTGGAGGCTAAAGACTGTGGTGGAAGGGAAGGACCACTACACTGAGTTTTGTAGGACTTGTTCCTTCTGGAGGCTGACAAGTACTGAGTGGGCAGCATGGCCCTAAGTACCCTCACAACTCTTGCACAAGAAACCCTGCCCACAAGAGCATAATTCCTGATTAAAGTCAGGATTTCCACCATTCAGTTTCCAAACGTTGAGCAATCACCACCAGTGAGATGCAGGAGCACCAGGAGAGACCTGCCTCCAGCTCAGGAGGTCAGATCCAAAAATCCAGGCAAATCCAGGTCAGATTTGCCTCACATTGGTTCAGGGCCATGGCTGCACACCTGCTGCTGGCTATCCTGATTAAGCCAGGCACCTTCCCACAGGCTTCTGCTGGTTCAGCTCAGGAGCAGTGTTTGCAGGGCTTCTCACTAAGTCACTTTCAGGCAACCCTTACCAGAAAGCCTCTTAGGACAGCCCACCGTTAAGTGGTTCTTCCTCTCAAACTAGCAGGAACTGCTGCATGGTCCTCTTTAAACACATCCACAGCAGTGTTGGACAGTTATGCATTAAAGAAAACATCAGGCCTCAGGCCTGGTGCTTCCTTTCTTAGATATGCTCTTGACTACCTCAATATCACTGTGGAGACTTCAGAGTCCAGCATATAGGAACATGGAGATTTAGTGCCCTGAAATTTCCACTTAAATGGGGCAATGGTTGTTGTATGCTCTTTTAAAAGCCCCAGACATTATCTGGTCTGCTAACAGGCCTCAGTAGTAGCACTCATAATACTGGAAAACACTAACATAGTTCACACCACGAGCTTCTACAGGAGGGCTCATGCTCAAAGCCTGCATTTGGTCTTTTGTGTCCAGCGGTGAGACTCAATGGTTAAGTAAAGCAGGGCTGGGTCTCTTCCATCAGTCCTGAAACAAAACTCCTGCTCCATAAATACCAGGTGCATTTTATTACACAGTAACACAGAGAGGACAGGTCTTTAAATGGATCTACAGTCTTGCAAAGTAAAGCAAAGCCTTATCAGAAGCACACACACCCCTCCCCCCAAACCCTTTTCCCTTCCTTATCACGCTCTCTACCAACTCCTTTCATACTTAAAAAAAGAAAAATAATAATCAGAAACATGGTATGGAAAAAGGGATGTTTTCCATTTTACCCAACAAGGGCAGGAGAGCAGGTTAATTCGTATGTTTCACTATCTTTTGGATAAAAATCAAAGCATTTTACCCACTCATTAGTGCCCAATCCAAACAAAGGGGGCAGTTTCCAAGGTACCCCTTAGCTACTTAATATAAGCACAAAATGTAAAAAAAACAAAAAAAACCCAAAAACAAACAAACATGGAGGCAGGGGAAGAAGTGGAGAGCTGCAATATCTTGGCACACACGAGTGCCATGCTTTCTTCCCCCCCAGGTCAAGCAGCAATGCTAGCAGCAGTACCTCTAGCAGCAGAGCCTCCAGCAGCGCTGCCCCGCAGCTCCCTACATCCCGGCTCACCTGCGCAACCCCGGCTCACCTCCCACGGGAGAGAGCACCCTGATCCTACAGAAGCGCTCAAGTGTGAAAAATGGTATTTAAAAAAGCTTATGAAGCAACTCCTCTCCCCCCTCCCCCCCCCCGTCTCCCCCTTTCTTTTTTAAGCTTGCGCTCTTACCCTCCTAATTCTCACCCAGACTTTAAGCTCATGCCCAGCCCGCTACCTCACGGCGGCTCCCCCCCGGCCCAGGGGATAGAAACGGGCACGGGGAAGGAAGGCAGCGGGGCCGCCTCCCAGCTCCTACCTGCCCAGGCTCGCTGCTGTAGGCGAAGGCGTAGAGCCGCTCCGAGCTGATGTTCACGGCTCCCCGGTAGACACGGCCGAAGGCTCCGGGAGCGGGGCCGCCCCCGGGGGCCGCTGCCGTTACCGCCCAGAGCAAAGCGCAGAGCAGCGCCCCGGGGGCTGCGGCCGCCCCCCCGGCCATGGCCCCGCGTGTGCCGCCGCCCGGAGCGGCTCCCGGTCCGCCTCTCCCCGGCAGTGCGGGCGTCCGGGCACTTTATTTGCGGTGAGAATCACTAGCGCGGCCACACGCACCGGCGCGGGGGAGGCGGGAGGCAGCGAGGGCCGGACGCCACCCCCCACCCCCCCTCACCGCCCGGGGGCGCCGAGCAACTTGCCCCGGGAAAGGACCCTCCGCCAGCCGGCCGCCGGGAGGAGAGAAGGGAGGAGAAAGGGAGGGAAGGGAGGCAGGCGGCTGGCCCCTGGAGGAGGGTCTCCTCCGTGTGCCCGGCCCCAAATTGTGAGCCGGCCCTCGCCGTCGGTTGTCAGGGAGCTTTTCACCTTTGGGACGTGTGCTGTGAGTTTAGGGGCACAAGGGTACGTGGGAACAGTGCCACGGCAGTGGATCTGCGGGGTTTCAACACCCCCAGCCCACCGTGTTATCGCCCTGTGCTCTGCCAGCTTGCTGGAGTGATGATGAGTGCTTGGAATGTGTTTTGCACAGAGCCATCCCAGGCTTCTCAGCTGCTCATGACTCTAAAGGTGTGAAAGGCTGCAGCAAGATGTCATTCCGTTAATTCAAGAATGCCTCATTCAATCCTACGTTATTTAAGTAGTTTGTGAAACTGCTACAAAATCACTGTGATAATCAACCTTTTCAGCCAAATGAGAGTGATACTGTTAGGCCAGGAGTCTCTCTCCCCCTGCTTTCCCCTCTTACGTTCTGTTGAAAATGTGTCTGAGGAATGTGTCAGACCCAAAGAGGAGGGATGCACTTTTAAGCCAAAGAGCATTACCAGAAAGCAACCTGAAAGGTTCTTCAGGCTGAAGGCAAATTCACAGAAGACATGATTTTATAAAGCCAGCCTGCGTTCTCCAGTTATGTTGACTTTGGCCACAGAGGCTGTCCAAACAGTGGGGTTTCTTTTCAAGACTGATTTCCTGAGGGTCGCTCTTCAGAGGAGGAGGAGAAGTTGTAAAGCTCAGCAGAATGGCTCAGCTTACATTATGCTTTTATTTTGATCTTTGGCCATTTGTGTAATCTCTGCCAAGAGCAAACAAATACAAAAATTGTCAGTGATTTATTTTAGTCTTGAAGTGGGCTGCCATTAAGTCACCCTGCCTTCTGTCAGAGTTCTAAAAAATAGAATGCCAAGCCCCCCACACGAGAGATCTACAGGAAGATGACCACTCCAACACCAAGAGTGCCTTTGGGCCTGCAATGTTATGTTGTGCAGACCAGAACCTGTGTAGTGCACAGAGAGAGGCCTCAGAGAGCAGAAGGAGTTAAGGCAAAGCAAAAGCATGCCTCTGCCATGCCAGGATGCTCAGAGCAATGTGACAGGTGGTATGAGGCCAGTACTCTGAATACCAAGAGAGCACTGGCACCTACTAATAGTTTTGCGGTCATTTAGTGTTGTGTATATTTCAGATCAGTAGATCAGTGGGGAATCGGTGGACTGTCTTCTATGTTGCACTGACCATATGATAAATAAGTGGTCTCTATAGAGTCGACACTTCCAGTGCAGAATTACAGAGTTCTTTGAGTACTTGCCATGAGTGGATGTATGTTTTGATATCCTACAGAGGACTGCACATTTCTTCTTCTCCCTGGGGCTGTCCAGGGAGATGGTGGACTCACCATCCCTGAAGGTGTTGAAGAAACGTGTAGATGTGGCACTGAGCGACATGATTTAAGGGGGCATGGTGGGGATGGGTCTTTTCCAACCTTAATGAGACTATGATTCTAAGTTTAAAGTCAAGATAAATTCCATCATCCAACGCACTAATTAAAATAATCAATCTTAGCAGACAGATCAGATCTTTTAATTTGTTATACCTTCCTATTGTCTGGAAAATATCCACAGTTACATTTTGGGAATTGCTGTTCAATCACGCACTCCTCTCGTGTTAATTCCAATTGGAACCTTATTTGCTTTTATGAGGATGGTGTTCAGTGCAATGACAAAAGCCCTACTAAAGTCCAAACGTTTCATCTGTTTCTTTCAGCACTTCCTAAGTCAATTATCTCTGCAAAGAAATAAATTAGGTTACTATGACATGATTTGTTCTGGACAAATGCGCATTGCCTGTTTCTCATCACTTTATTGTTATTTGGTTGCTTGTCTGCTGATTACTGAACAGGTTGTTTCATTATCTTTCCAGATAACATGGAACCTGGCTGATTTATATCTCTTCCCTCAGCCCTGTTGCTAAAGTAGCCTGTTTGCTCTTTTCATGTCCACCTGGATCTCACTCTTGAATGACAGCATGTGTTTTGGAAGAAATAATGTGTACACGTAGAGACAGGATGCTGATCCAGACAGATCATGGGGCAGGATTGGTGGGAGAGTTCTTATATGTGCCACAGCACACTGGTGTCAGAGAACAGGGTGTCTTGAAGTTGACAGCTGGGCTCAATGTAATGAGTCCACATTGCCTTGCAAACCATGGCAACGAGGCAGTCTTTGGAGGCCAGGAACACCATCATGGGTATCACACAGCTGTAGCTGGAGGACAGGCAGTGCCCAGAACCAGAGCCATGGTGTAATTACAGCACCCACGGGAAGGCAGAGGCCAGCCCTCTCTGAGGCCTCCCTGCAGCGCTGCCTCCAGGGTCACTACAGCAAAGCAGGGCAGCCCCAGGCTGCACTATCTCTGCTTTGGCACCAAGCTTGGGGTGTCAGGCCTCTAGGAGAGGGCATGCTCTCAGGGCCCTTTCGTCTGGAGGTGCTGCTGGGCCACATATCTACTCACATAATCCTTTCTCCCAACTTAGCAAAGACCAAAGGGTTGTGAGTGTCTTAGGGAGAAGGAGGTACTCCAGTGAAGCAGAGGCTCACAAGAGAGTCATTGCTGGTTGGTGTGTTTTTGTTTCTTTGTTTTGCCATAGCAAAAGTCTCAATGCTTTGGGAGAAAAACAAAAAACAAAACAAAACTGTAAGGAAGCGGCATTTCTCCTCGTAACCAGTCCTGCCAAACAGCCAGGACAGGGGAAAGATCTCAATTCCAAAGGAATTTCCCCAAACCATGCCATTTTAGAAAGAGAAAGATTTTAAATATATAACCAACCAAACTGGTTGGAAACTTGAGGGTCTTAAATCACTGGTTTCTGTGTATGTAGTCGCCGTTTCATAAGCTCCACTATGAGCAAATAGATGCTGTAGGTATTCAGCTGGCTTCTGCTGAGATAATGGATCATTTTCAGACACTGTTGTAAATGCAGTGTGAAGAAAAACAAGGACAGGCTTCTAAGACATCTGATAGAATATCATAGAATATCACAAGTTGGATGGGATTGGATGGGATGTACAAAGATCTTTGAGTCCAAAGCACACTAGGAGCACAGAGATCTGCTCCCCATTCTTATATAGTAGCTGAATGAGGAGTGTCTCTGTGAGCTTACATGAGGTATTTAGCAGTTACACTTACATGTAATCAATAATAGCAGAGAGATTTATGAGCTTTCAGAGTACATGTTATGTTGATCTAATTGTGCTGTGATCACTTTCCTCTCTTTTCAATATTCCTTGTTCTTCCAGACATTTTTAAGCCACACTACTTCAGAATTCCAGATGTGTCTTTAATTTATGTTTTTGTGTTACAGATTTTCAAAATTAACAAAGAGTAACCAATCCAGTACATTGCCTTATACATATGCCTAGGATTAGAGGTTTCTTTTACTATAGACTTAAGCTTCAGGTTGCATATGGAAATTGAATTTCAGGTGCAGCCTCCTGCATAAAAAACACCCCAGGCACATTTGCAGCACTTCAGCAAAGGCAATTGCTGCTAGTATTTTGCTATCACTCTTTTGCTCCCTTTGTAATTTCCCTCTTTTTCTTCTTGTGTTGGATGCCAAGCAATTCCTTTCCTCAGCACGTTCAACGTTGCTATCTGCATCTTCACAAAAGGATTGGTGAAGCTGGAATTAGACGGATGAGGACTCGGCACCATCAGATCTTGGTGAAAGCGAATTTCTTTTTAATTAAGGAAGTATTTTTGACTGAAAAGCTGATAAACCCTACATCTTCACTTTCCACACCCAACAGACACAATATTAAGCTCACATTGGAACATAAAATGTTAACTCCAACCCTTCAAAATAATTTATGTCACTACCGATGTGACCCAGGGAAGCAGATCACAGAATCATAAAATGTCTTAGGTTGGAAGGGACCTTAAAGATCCTCTTGTTCCAACCCCCTTCCGTGGCATATTTGTGGGGCAAGTCTATAGGAAATGCTCTGCACTCGGTCATAAGGTAAATAAATGGGTGTTAACAGCTGGTTACTTTGTGGGAGTTGGACATTCCTTGGGTAGGGAGGTGCACGCTTCCTTGGTGGCACCGCTAGTGAGATTTGTTTGTTAAAACACAACCAGCTGCCACTCCTTAACGTCACGTTTCCTTCGTTTAAGAGCTTGTGTGATGTTCTGCTCTTAATTACCTCTTTATTATCTTAATTAAGATTTGAAATACATCTGGAAACTTCCAAGTCTCTCTGACAGAGGCACCGCAAGTTGTCCTGGGGTGGCGTTTGTACTGAAGAAAGATGATAACGGCATAAATGAGCAGGATTGGGGCGAGAGAGGAAAGAGGTGGTCCAGCCGCTCCCTCAGGGGCATCCCCTCGTGCCCGTCGGGGGCTTTCCTCATAGAAAACCCAGCGCAGAGGGAGACGGCGCCATGAGGCGCGGGTGAGCCAGGAGACGAAGAAGCAGAATCGGAGGTAACGAAGATGAGTTTTCGACGGAGGTCGCCGAGATTCACGGCGCAGCCCTAAGAGGAGCCGGCGGTGGCGCGAGGCGGGGCCAGCCGCCGCCACGTTCCACCCCCTCGGGGCGCGGCGAACGGCTCCGTCCCTGTGGCAACGGAGAGAGAGCGCGCGCGCGGCCCGCTCGAGCCGCCGGCGGGGCGGCCATGTCGCTGCTGAGCGGACCCCGAGCGCGGCTCCGCGGCGCTGCCAGGAAGGGTCCGAGGAAAGCGACGGCGGCCAAGCGGGATTGGGACGTAAGTGCTGTCTCTGCGACGGGGGCGGCCGGCTCGGCGCCGGGCAGAGCGGGCTCCGAGCGGGGCTAGGGGAGCCTTGTGTGGCGGCTCGTGGGCGCCGAGCCGCCCGATCCGGCCGTGAGCGGTTGGGGAAGGCCTGGGGGGGGGCTCTGAGTGGGGGCGAGCCAGCCACCATCAGTGCTTCGCACAGCCAACTCCCCTCCTCTTTCCCCTTCCCTGTGGAGGCTTGGTTGTGTGGGGTGGTTTTCCCGTCCAACCTTTTTCACCGGCCTGGAGTGTGCAAGGGGAGTTGGGAGTTCCTGGATGTTTAGATATTGACGTGTGCGGTTGTGTAATTTCATCCTTTTTCTCTTCTTTAATTGCTTTTGATGTGTTCTCTTGTTCCTTTGTGCAGAGTACTGTCCATGATTTGACGGTTCACCGTGCGACTCCCGAGGATATCGTAAGTGTAACATCTGAGCTGGTTCTACAAATGCTTGTCTCGATGGCCTCCGGGCAGCAACATTAGCAAGCACTTTACTTATTTGTATTTAAACTATACACATACATCAGCGTTAGAAGAAGAGTGAGAATTTCACTGATGATTGACACGAGTGTTAAATCAGGGAAATACAATGGCTTTCTACATGGGAATGTTTGTGAGTTTTTTTCTCTCTTGAGAAAACTCTTAATTCAGTGATGATGGGCAGAAGGAAGCTGTGAGACTTCCTCCATTCACCTTTGAAACTGCTTTAAACATGGCTAGTATTGGGGGCATTTGACACTTGAGAATGTTTGTGAGGTTCTTGTTTGTTCTACCAAGAAATAAAACAACCAGCATGTGTATGGTAAAATCAAGATAGAAGAGTTGTCATCATGGCCTTACTAGTTTTTCTTTTACATTGTACTTTCATTTTAAACTAGCTTCTTTCATGTTTACATAGCTGCGTCGCCATGAAATACACAAATCCAAAAACAAAGCACTGGCACATCTGGAACTGCAAGAGAAGGCACTGAGAAGAAAATGGAAGAAGCAGAAACAGCTAGCCCCTGATTCTTTGGAGAAAAGGAAATTGGCCCTGATGCATGAGGTAAGAGCAAAATCAGTGCTTTCAGCCTGCTGCAAATGATTTGCAGTAGTAGTAGAAAACTGCTTTTGCACATCAGTGAAAATAGTTCCTCTTTTTGAATAGTTGGCTTTCATGTGTGCATACTTTCTTTCTCCTCTACATGCGGTAGCTTGGAATAGACTGTGTAACATCTTACCTGTACAGTTAGAGTATCCGTGTGGACTGTCTATGTTCTCTGTAATGCTGCAGGCCTCATTGCATCTGAACAGGAACTGTTTGCAGAGTTAAACTCTGTGCTGTGAAAAGGATGCACATTCTTTGTGTCCTCAGTCCTATCTTGCCTCCTTTTCCCCCTGCCTAGTATTTTTCTTTGTTTGATGAACATATGAACATTTATAGTTTTGAGAAGGACATCTGCCATTCTTTATTGACACAGGGGAAATGCAGGGGACCAAAAGGTGAAAGACAAGTGAAGAAGGAAGAGCTTGTCTAGAAGGAAAGATGATGAAACAAAGCAGACAGATCTATCAACTGAGAGTATAAATGTTTGTTTAGGCAGTCTGAAGTATTCTAACTGAAAATACTGTTTAAATTGCTTTTCTAACAGAAAATACTGTTTAATTTGCTTTCGAATGTTCTACAATAGCAGCAAAACTAAGTTTAGCTTGCAAAGACAGAGGCTTTCAGTGTCTGACAATAGATTTCTCTATTAAATACCATCTTTTTGTTTCACACAGCAGGATGCTATTTGCCAAATGTCATGAAAACTAATTTCAAGATATAGTAGCTTTGAAACCTCATCAGCACTTGGACAAACCCAGAGTTGGTCTTATTCATTATTATTCAATATCAACAACGTTCACCTAGCAGATAAAGTAATGATGTACTAATTCAGCAGTCCTGCATATGCGCAGTGGGTTAACCATCAAATACTTCTGTTTCTCATCTTGTTTTTGTAAATTTTCAGAAATCTTGCTGTGAACTTTGAGAACATTGAAGCATAGACAGAAACAAATGAAAGTATTAAGTTTTAAAAATCACCTACTAGATTTGTATTTAATATCTTTTTTGTCTCCAACCACAACAAAATTTATGTTAAGGATATTTGTAACCAAGAAGCACTTTGATTTAAACATTGTAATTTTCATGCTTTTATACCAAGTCCATTTTAGGGCAATATTGTTGAAAAAAACCCATATGCTCTTATACAAAATTCCTTGGTGCAGGTTAGATTCAAGAAAAATTTCTTCCAGAGATATATATATATATATATGTACACCAAATATAGGTAGGACCACAAGCTCTTAATTGTGTTTGGACTACTTAATACATGACTTGGTTGTTTCACACATTTGGAATAGTCTTCTGCCATTTGTAATGACATTGCACTAATTTTAATTCCTCCTGAGCAGATTTCTCCCTTGTATTTAAAAGAGTACTTTTAATCAGCATATTCTATGTCTACTTTTGAATCTGAGAAAAGACTGCTCTAGATAGGAAGACATCAGATGATTCCGGGCAAGATGAAACATATGCTGCTGTTGCTGCTTGATGTACCGGCATCTTCTTGAATGTGAATTATAAATATGGAGAAGATCACTATTTTCCTGTATCCCCAAGTTAAATTCTGTTAGTCACTAGTCCTAGTTGTTCAGAGCAATTGAAGAACTTCTTCAATCTGCATTTTCCAGTACAGAATAAACACTGTGGGTTATTTCCTTGCTTCTATTATTCAGTGATCTTTGTTTACTGTTGCAAGATCTCAACATCCTAAGCCCCTTGAATCTTAATCAACTGGAGGCAAAATTTAGGAAGATGCTGCCAGTAGCATATCTTTTCTTGTATCTATATGTTAAAGGGAGAGAGAGTAAAAATTATAAAATGGATGAGCTTATCTTTAAACTTTTGAAGGAGGGGCTTGCTAAAATTCTGAAGGAAAAGTTATATGACTTTCATTTCAATTACTGAATTGTGGGTGGTCTTACAGCCTGTTTCTAAAATAATGTCAGTGCATTACACTAAAGGGTACATAGTGAATGTATCAGTGTAGTTGAAAAGGTTAGGATTAGTCCTATTTAATTATCTTCACTAACGTTCTGAATTTTAATGAAATTGTGTGAATGCTACTAAAGTGGGAGAAGGTACTGCACACAGTGAGTGTGTTGAGGGAGTGTAAATGGGCCTAGATCTGCTGATCACAACCAAATGTAAGCTAATCTATCTTAGGAACCATGGTCTAAATAAATGCTCTTAAATGTTGAGCAGAAGAGCAAAGCTTTGGAACCTAATAATGCTGATCTAGTAGGGGGCACGAAAACGAATTAGTGAAGACCAGTTTTGTTGGAGTAAGTGTGTCGCTTTAGTTTTCTGCTTTGGGCAAAGGAGTCATGTTTTGGAGAATAGGTAAGCATTCTTACTTTTTTTCCTCTTTGGCCTAGCATGAGATTATCTAAAAGCGTGCTTAATTTTAACATTAGATGGCTAAACGCAAAGTTAGTATCAAGGGTAAAAAGTAAATGGTGATTTGGGGATTTAAATATATAAGATGATTACAAGAGATGAGTGTTCACTGATTTGCTAAATTGATTATGAGAAAAAGTGATATATTGCAGTGTAATTCAGTCTCAAAAGAATAGACAAATGTGTAAATGAGCCTTGCAGACATCCAGGTCAGTGCAGAAGGAGGGCAGGAGATGCACCACATTTGGAGCAGAAGTTACATGCAGCCTGAGGAGGGGCCTGTGATGGAGCAGGCTGTTTCCCCTGCTGCCCATTGGGTTCTACATGAAGCAGATCTCCATGTGCAGCCGATGGAGGAGCCCATGGTACAGCAGGTGGATATGGCCTGAAGGAGGCTGCAGCCCATACTGAGCCCCTGTTGGAGTAGGCGCCAGGCCAGAGCTGCTGTCCATGTAGAGGAGCCCACAGTGGATCAGGAGGTCTGGGGTTGCTGCCACCTGTGGAGACATGTATGGAACAGTTCCTGGAGGGCTGGCCCTGTAGTATGGAGTTGTGCTGGAGCAGTGCTTGAAGAGCTGCAGCTAGAGGGAAGCCCACGCAGGATCGGTTTGGGAAAGATGGCATCCTCTGGAAAGGATCTCGAGTGGAATAGGAGAACACTGGAGTGTGAAAATAAAAGAGTGGCAGATATGAGTGGTGTTATGAACTGACACACCCATATTCACCATCTGCTTTGGCTGCTCAGGGAGAAGAAATTGAAGAAGGTGGATGAGGGGAAGGTGTTTTTTCTTTGCTTTTAGTTCTCACTGCTCTCTATTTCTAGCTTAATGAATGAAACTACTAGTCAGTGAGTTTAGAATTGTGTTCTGCCCACAGGAGACATTTTTCCATCAACTTCTGTTCAGTTAGCAGTAGCTGAATGTCCTTTTAAACTCAAAAGCTTCCCTCCTTAGGAGGCAGCTTTCATGGTTCCAGTAATGGGCTTCAGATAGTGGGAGAAGTAGATATCTTGAATATAGAAACTGTATCTTGTGAGAAATGTGTGGACATGACCAAAGCATTTTGTATTGCCTTTCTGCTGAAGTTTGTATGAAGGTATGAGGCTTTATTTGAGGCAGGATTTCCAGTAATCAAGACTGAATGAAACAAGTCTGTCTGAAATCATTTGGATCTAATCAACTAGTTCAGTTCTTGGTTGTCTGTCAGATGAGTCAGTTTGTTGACACTTCTGGAGAGATAACAGTTTAACTTTTCAAAAAAAATGAGGTGAATTCTAGTCATTGGGAACAAATTACAGTCTTCTTATCTATCTTAATTAGGACCTAACAGCACAGTATCTACTTTGTAAACACTACCACCTTAGCTATTCTTTTGCTAGCTGTTTTGAAGAACAGTACTCAAAAAAAAAAAAGGAAAAATCATTCTGCACAGTATGAGATATTTCCTTATATGCTATACTTTCAGATTCTCTCTGAACAATATGATTTGCAAGATGTATTGAAGCGGTCTGATCAAGTTATGGCTGTGGTAAAAGACTTGTTTGGGAATGCCCCTCGCATGCGAACAGGTAAACTACCTCATTTGTATGTGACAGTGCATTCAAGACTAACTTCTTGCTTCTCATAATCTTGAGTTACAAAGTATTCTTTGTAACTGTTTTTGCCTGATCTTCTAATGTGATATGACTGATCCTGTTTATGTTGGATGAAACACAAATGAGGATAATACCTAATGTGGCAGGAGAAAGTGAACTGTGGCTGGTTGTTCCACTGTACCGGTCTATAGTGGAATTTCTGATCACTTACTCTAAAATAGCTGATGCTGATTTCTGCAACCAAGTTACCAACCAATACAGAGCACCAGTTTTTGCCACGGTAGTAGTTCTGATTCTCGTTGCTACCCAATTTGCCTTGTTGTTCTTAGGAATTGTTGAAGATATATCAGCAACTTGTGAATAAATCGTTTCCATTTCTTATCGTGGTTTATGAATCCTTACACTGCTGAAAGGGATTGGCCATTTGCACATGAGATGTTAAGCTTATCTTTTGTCTTTAGGCTGCAGTTCTCTTTTGCATTTAATGACTATTCCAAATGACATGCTTTTTCTGCACTAGTTTATTTACACAGCTGAGAAGAACAGGAGCCCGATACGTTGAATGTATTGAGATTATTCTACGGTCTTTGTCAGTTATTCAAAACAATACACATCAAAACAATACACCGCTTCTGTGCAAAATGCAGGAACTTGCATTTTGGTACTTAGTCCTATGATGTACTGACTAAGCCCTTTCTGTTCTCCCCTGTTTTGTCTGATTCCTCTAGGTTTCCCTAATGTAACAATGGCTCCTAACTGTGACTTAGAATCATCTCAGGAACCCATTGTACGAAAATGGGAACCTCCCACTCAGCTTTCCATCCTTAGTGAATCTGTCATGGATTCCCAGGTAATTAATTTATATGTATGTTCCATGTTTCTTGTTTATACAAAATAGGGATATTGAAAGGTAGCGTTTCCAAGCAGACCTAAGCTGTGTACTGTATACAGTGCTAATAACAAGCAGAGAAAACTGCATTAAATTGACATGAATTTGTTTTGAGAGTCTGGAAATCATGATTTTTTTTATTTCTTATCCTTTGAGTAGAAGGTTCTTAAGTCTCACAATAGCAAGCTCTCCCTTTTAAATTCTGGAATTTTCAGTACAAGAGTGAAGTAATTACAGGCTTAAAAAAAACATCCAATGGCCCAACTCTGATGTCACTTAGACCTAATTGGTATCCATTCAAATATGCCTATGATTTTTCTACTCGTGTCTACATGTATAGATGTGTAGCCACCTGGGCTGCAATTTATATCTGATCACACACATGTATATGTATCCCAGATAATTCCAAAACCTTGATTAGTCCTATAGATTTTATTTTTAATACCTCACGTTATTGTGCAATTATTTAGATTGTGTAAAAAGCTTAATGCTTGTTTAAATTTCTTCAGAATTTTATTTAGAGTGCCTCAAGTGTTCTGTTTTCTTCTCATAGCATGACTTATGGTAGGAATGCATACTTTAGTTTGAGAAATGTAATATGACACTACTGAAAAGTAGCTCAATCTGATGAATAACAAAAGAACTATGGAACTAAAAGTGCTGGTGTCATATTTTCATGTTTCCCTATTCCTGTATTTTATTATCTTGCACAAATGTCTGCAGTCAGAATTGTAGTGTTCATGTAGTCCAGTAATTTCAGTGTGTAGCGTTTTTGTTGTGTTTTGCTTTTATAATGAAAAAATAACTATAGCATCACTGAGTTGTATCACTGGATGCATGCAGTGAGATAGGCATAGATGTTTAGAAGAAAATAGTACTGATAGATGTCTGCCTGAGTGTCTCTGAGATTTTCCTTATATTCCTGTGAAAATCCCAGTTAAACACTATCTGATGAGGCACACCCAGAAAGGCAGAAACCTGGTAGTTCGAGGTACGCTAATTCCAAATTTGATTTGCTTTATGTGAATATGGTATGTGGGACTGTATTTGTTGTGGTTGTGTTTTACACATAGAATATAGACATAATTATGCAAATCTCATGATAAGGTTTAGTTTGTAATGTCAAATGACTGAAATTTTAGATATAGATAGCCTTTTAGATATTATATATATATGATATAATGAATATTATATATATGTATATAACCTTTCTAAAATTTCAATTATATATATATAATTTTTTTTTACATTTTACTCCTACTGTTGAGCAAGGACTTGCTGGACAAACTGAGGGATAACAAGGGAAAGCATAGGCAATGGAAGCAAAGATGGGTGATCTCGGAAGAATATGGGGTTGCTGTCCAGTTGTGCAGAGACAAGATCAGGAAAGCCAAGGTGCAGATGTAATTAAACTTTGTGAGATACGTAAAAAATAACAAGAAGGATTTCTTTAGATGCTTTAGTCAGAAAAGGCAGGCAGAGGAGACTGTATCCCCTCTGGTAAATGAGAAGGAAGAACTGGCTTCAGTTGGTATGGAAGAGGCTGAGTTCTTTACCTTGATCTTCACTGCCAGTCAGGCTTTCAATGCCTGTCACGTTCCTGAACCTCCAGGGGGGATCAGGGGTGTCA